TTGCAGCCGATGATTGTAGCATGCATTATTTTTATCTAGCCATTCAGAATATTTTTTATTTGTTGCATTTATACATGCATTTGTTATTTTATCTAAAATTTGTTTAGACGCCCAATAATGTTGCCATATATGATTGAATGTCATTAATTGTATTTGAACTATTTTTATAAACAAATCTGTCGGTCGTACTAATTTCGTTACTCTAGGAGCATTTTCGTCTGCGTTTGGATATTCTCGAAATTCTATATACATTTCATTTTCCGTAGCATTATCCATTGGCGTTTTCATCATACAATTACGGCAATTGTCGCACTTGGTTTTTGCAAAATTTCGTCGTGCTATATATCCAGCAAAAAATGTAATAGCATTTTCATCATATATATTAAGTGTATCATCTTCTTCTCCATCTTCCATATTATCATATTCTTCAAAAATTTGTATATCCTCCATAAATGATTCGTCTTCGGAATTAACATCACATTGCACAACGGTATGACTTGCGTTTAATGAATTTTCTAATTTTTTAACTAGATGAGTCGGTGAATTAATTAGTAATTCAGCTTCTGGGCATTGAACATTGCCTTTATCGCTTATTGTGGGGATGTATCCCGTAGATATTATATGTCTCAAAGAGAGTCGAACCATTCTTGCTGTAGGATTGGGATTAAATCCTCCACGTTGTCTTAATTTAGAGAATAAATGTTCGACTGAGTCTTGATTACATAATCCTGTAGCTAGTTCAAATTCTTCATAGCGTCTTGTAATTTCTTTGTATAATCCAAGAATAGCTTGTACAGTTAAATTGAAGCCTTTCAAACAAGGAATTGTCGATAATCTGTCTGGCGATATAGACCATCTTGAGCACCATTCGACAAAATCTGTTAATAACATTTCTATATCAGGATTTTTGGAGGACAATGGTCGTTTTCCACCATATATGATTTTAAGACTGTAAGAATTGCAAGCATCTATAACTTTATTCAGATTTTCTGTAAAATCAGCCGTTGCATCCCATGTATTTGTTTGTAACAGTTTTCCATGTCCAGCAGTTCTTATTGCGGCTGCAAACGTATGACTGAATAATTGGAAAGCTCTTTTGACATTCATCGTTTCGAAAGTATTGGGATGAATATGTGCTTCCGTAATATGAGATAATAAATTAGAACCTCCTTTAGTAGCGTCATCAATAGACCATGTCAATTCAAAATCGGAAAATGATGCGATTATTTTTCCATCGCGATACAGATGTTTGTGTTTTCTCAGCAAACTCGCCAATCTTTTCACTAAATGTGGAAAATCAAACGATGCATAATATTTCTTTCCATTATGTATAAAAAATGGTTTATCCGAATGCACGCCAAGTTTTACATAAGCACTCTGGTTACTTGAGCCTTGATCGCATGTTACGAATTGCACATCAGCGCCCGTTTTACTCAATCTATCTAAACATTCTTTTAATAAAAATATAATTTCTTCGGCTTTCATACCTGTGCCAGCAAGGAAATATGCTAATGGTTGACGCCATGAATGACGCGCGTTAATGCTGTCCAAACAAAATACAAATACGTGTTTTGCAATCTCATTTTTTTTTCCTAGAGGTCCTAAATCAACAAGCCCTTCTATTTCATCCAATTTTAGTGAATATTCTTCATATGACTTAATCGTCATTTCGTCCCATTTCAAAGCGCATAATCTTTCTTCCACAGGTAGTTTGGAAATTTTCTCTTGTAATTTACGAAATATAAATTCGCAAAATCCTGGCATCATATTATATTCTTCGTGCCATCTTTGAATTGTTCGTTCACCAGGAAAATTGCAACCTGCCTTTCGTAAACCACGCAGTGCAGAAGCTGAATAATAATAAAGTTGCTGTGATATATTTTTTTCCTCTTCCGTATATGATGCATTTGGCGTATGTAATTGCAAATTTATCATTGCCTTCGCAACGGGATGTAATTTATTCTTATCCATCAATTCTTGTATAATCTTTTTATTACTTTTCTTATTAGTATTATTGCGCTTTTTGGGTATTCGTCGAATGTATCTTTGTAAACGGAATTTTAACGTTTTTACCGTTCGACGCAGACGAATATTTTCATTTTTTAAAGAATTAATTATCATTTGTAAGTCATTGTCTTCATTTCTTATTTTTTTATTTGTACTTATTTCTATTCCATTTTCATTCATGTTTTCATTTTCTTTTTCATTAGTTTGCGCTGATCTTTTTTCGCAGATTGGCGGTTCTAACTCTAACCATTCCATAGCATCCTCTTCCGATGTCATTTGAAAATCTAATTGCGGTGACCGATAGGTTCTCAATGGTGGCCATTGAAATAATTGTTTCATCGTTTCATCGTTTCCATCGTTTTCAATATTTTCGAATGTTATTGGCCTTATTGTGTTTTCACATTTTTCTTGTGCTCCCGTTATATTAATTATATTTGCAGAATTTCTTGTTGTGTTAACAGTCATCGCAATAGGCATGCTCTCCATGTCTACATCTTCATTGCTTTCCTTTGGCGAGGCAATATTTCTGAAAGGAAGAGGTACTGAACCGCGTTTTAATACTTTCTTACCTTCCCTTTCTATAAAGGAATCTTCACTGAAGTGATCTGCACACAAACCGGCACGACGGATTGAACTCGCAGACCATTTGTTTAATTTAGTATTTCCTGAAACAGAATCAATGCAAACGATTATTTATAAATCTTTCGAAAGAAAGAAAAAGATAAAATGTTAAGGAGAAAATTTTGCGATGACTGAAAAATTGTCTGGGTTTGTTTGATCTAACATTACTTTTAAAGAGTTATTCTACTTTGATTAGCCTGAAAAGTATTGATTTTTTGAACATACATTACGGAAAAAATAAAATTTCAATTTATTTCAAATTTGACATATTTTTAGAATACATATTAAAATAAATATAATTTCTAAAATAAATTTTTTTAGAAAAACCTCACTTCATACGATTTATGATAACTCATTACAATATCAATATTTTGTTAACAATAAAATGTTATAACATTTTACACATGCGTACTTTAATATGTATTCAAACAATGAGCCAAGTTTTAAATAAATTGCATTTTTATTTTTTCCACAATTTAAGTTTAAAGAAACAATACTTTTCAGGCTGTCAATTCATTTCATTGTAAATTTTAATTTTAATACTTTAATACACAATTTTAATACTTTATACGAATAACATGTGTAATTTGAACAAAAATCACAATTGTAAAACGTATTTGTACGCGTTTCATTAATGATGTTATGTTCAAAAGTATTATAATGCTTGTTTTATTATTCGAAAAATGAATGCACACACATACAAGTCTTGAATAATTTTCAGATACAAAAAAAATTACTTGTTAAGATTACATTACATTATTTTATTTACACAATATTTACATATTATATTTACAAGATGACTTTGTGTGCTCTCTTTCGCAGATTATTATTGGAAATCTCGACTTTAATTGCATCGCAGGTTTCACATAAATTATCAGTTAAAAAGCCTCATACCCGATATCTAATAGACCAAAATTAAAAGAAGCCATAAAAGTTAATCAAAAACATAGATTACTGATAATTTAAAACTCATAATTTAAAAGATGTTTTTTTTAAAATATTTTTTGATTTTGTAACAAATAGATTTGTAACGAAATCACTTGCTTTTACGTGAGAATTTCACGACAAATATAATTTCCATTTTTATTGAAACAGCACTATATAGATATATAAAAAATTACTATATACGGTAAGTATAAGTTAAATTAAAATCAGTGACAGACATCTCGTATAAGGTGACATCGTACTGTCACCTTATAAGCTGATAAAATAGTATTACTGTGTTTCGAATTATAGTCTCCTTTAATTTTTCATGTTTTCATATTTTCCTACAATTATAGCGCGTAACTTTTACAGCGCATTTTATCTTTATAAGATTTTTAAACATGAAAATTTCTCTTACAAATATAATGTTCCAAATAAATGTACACACTATATAAAAATAAATACAAAAAATGTAAGAAACTTACCGCTATTGCATATCCATAGTTTCAGTCTTGCATCCGTGCTCGATGGAAAACGAAATAAATGCGCACCCGTGGAAAATCGATCATTGTGGCAATATCTATACGCGCACTTATCATACACATTTATTTTTTCACGATTCATCGTAGTTTTTATTGTTTTCCGTTAATATATTAATATTTATATTATTACTATATTATATACTTTATTATAATAAAAATTTTTATTCGTGCTTGTAAAAAATATTTTTTATTTAAAAGCAACTTTCCTATCTATGTATAAAGTTTGATTACTAAATATGCAATAAGAATACTAAACTGAAAAATGTGGTAATAATAAACAAGAAAAATAAATAAAAATTAAAATTATTAAAACCACTCTCCAGAAATAAAATAATAAAAATATTTAAACTAATAAAGTGAATTAGCTTAAACTATACGTATTACAAGTACTAATTAAACATAAAATAAAATAAGATTAGAAAAATGAAAAATATGGTAATAAAAACAAAAACGAGAAAAAAATTAAAGGTTTTTAATACCACTAAAGAAATAAAAAAAACGTATATTTACTATGCAAATGCATAGAATTATTAATTAGCCGATTATCAATAGTGTAACAATATCATGAATTGATATCAGCTAATTTAATTGAGACAGTGTCTTCGATAATAAAGAATCGAATAAGTTTTTATCACCGAATATTTTATCACCAATTACACGATTACGTGTAGAATAATTACGCACAGAATCGCAGCGAATCGTACAAGCTGTAGCAAATGCCTCAAATGGAAAGACACTTTCGATTATTGTCATCTATTGCCTCGTAAAATGAGAATGTAAGGAAAAAAAGAGAAGAAAAAACAAAACAAATAGAGACGGACATAAAGGCGCAGAGATGAGCATAGAGATACGCGCATCGATCTAGCCCATGTTGCGATCGATGGGAGGAGCCACTCAAAGAGGGGAAAAGAAGGGGTAGCGACCACGCGACACGGGATCAGTTTAGATTTGGTCAGCGTGAGATGGATACAACAGTAAGTAAAAATATAATTATATAATTATTATTAGAAGTTAATGCGTGATTAATCACACGAAATGTCTGTTCCTCGTTTTAAGATGTTTATGAGTGTGTGATTTTTTGTGTGTGCATTATTTGTCACACTGGTTAGAAGTATGATGAATGATGTATGATGTATGATATGTGTTCACGTATTAACTTCTAACAATGTTATAAAATTGGCATAGTAAAGTATTTTTTAACAATTTTTCTTTTTCAGCTAGCATCGACAGTACTGACGACGGCGCCGACGATGACAACGACGGCGCCGACGATGACAACGGCGCCGACGACGATAACGACGGCGTCGACATTGACATCGACATCGACAGCACCGATGGCAACGGCGGCGATGGACACGGCATCGACAGCACCGACGGCAACGACGACTTCGGCGGCGCCGATGGACACGGCAACGACGACTTCGGCGGCGCCGATGGACACGGCAACGACGATTTCGGCGGCGCCGATGGACACGGCAACGACGACGTCGGCGGCGACACCGATGGCAACGGCGATGTCGACAAATATTACATTAAATGTAAGTACAAATTTTGTATTACATATTTAACAAATATTTTACTCTTTATGTTGATATGTTTGTCTTATTAATAATTAATATTTCAGATGGAACAATTGGGACAATTAATAGCGGCTGTTACGGCCGCAAGAGGACGAGGAAGAGGAGGAAGAGGAGGAAGAGGAGGAAGAAGAGGAAGAGGAACAAGAGGAGGAAGAGGAAGAGGCCGAAGCAGAGGAAGAGGAGGAGGGAAACAAATAAACTATAATTTTTATACAACTAATTAATTTTGTCATAAAATTATATAATATATATATATATATTATAAAATAAAAAGAATATTAAAAAAATTTCAATTTCAATGTACAAATCCTTTAATACACACACACACAGGCCGCTTATCAGCCTATACGAGCGAAACAATCATAAGAGCGAGTGAGATAAAAATAGTAGCGTGCAAAGAAGCTCGAGGATCTGGCTATTCATTGTACGCTGCTATTTCCCTCTCGCTCGCTCCCATCATCGTCTCGCTCGCTCCTGCTATTGTCTCGCTCGCACTCATCATCGTCTCGCTCGCTCCTGCTATCGTCTAAGCTGGCCGGAGAATCGTGAGCGAGACCGCGAGTGAAGAGCGAGCAAGATGACCTATCATCAAAGAAGAGTTCCGAACTCTCTTACAATGGACTTCCCCATCCCTCAAGTCACGAATGTAAACATTTTATAAAGTGAAAAGTAAAACCTTTATTTCGCATTTTATCGGTTTGAAAATAATTTTTATGAATTAATAAGAATTTTGCGATTAAAATGACATCAAACACGACATAAATCAGATAATTTTTAATTATACTTAACAAAAAATTAATTAATAAAAGCATTATTTGATTAAATCTGTGCCTGATTGCTTTAACGTGTGATACTTTTATTCTTATTTACAATTTATTACAAATAAAGCTTTAACATAAAAATAAATAATGAATGTGCATGTGTTTAGATTAAAAATTTATTTTATATACATTATATATACATCAATGTGCACATTACTCTGTATTATCGATCTTTCGTGGACATAGCACGGAACGAAACCAAAAATTGTGCACATGGCTACGTAGTTCCAATGTCCACATTTTAGGTCCACAGGTGGCGTATCGCTTTCGCGGATCACGTAAAACCTGGCCGTGGCGTCTCTCAGGCTTCTCTCTGACTATATACGCTATAATTCTCCATCTAGTAGGAACCAAAATGGCGGATAAGAATACCTACATATCTAGTGCCTTAATAAACCTATCGATCGAACCAATCAGCTGTCGCATCGTTGGTAGTAGTGTGAATTCCGCATTAGCCGATTTTTTTGTCGTGCAAGTTTGTTATAACGTATGCACTATGATTATGTTTATCAGAAAGTGAAATGTAACTCGGAATGTAGGACTTTTTGCATAGTAATGCAGTTTTAATATTAAGCAGTAAGAGTTGAACGGTCAAAATTTAGTCAAAATGACCGATGAAGATACAAATAATAATATTCTATCGTTACGGGAAAGTTTAGTAAGTTATCAACGATCATTGAATTAATGAATTTTGAATTTTCTTGCATAATATTCATGATTGTACTTCGTACGATTACTTCGCATGATTACTCTGCACAATTAAAAATAAATTATGCATACAGCTATGTATATAATAGACAAAGCTGTACGTATTGCTTTAATACAAGTTTATATATTAAAGGTAAAAACAGCGGTGCAATTTTTACAAAATTCCAAAGTATCATCCAGTCCATTGGCACAAAAGCAGGAGTTTCTCAAGAGAAAAGGCCTTACGGATGAAGAAATTAAAACAGCTTTTAAGCTAGCATCTATTGACAGCACAGTGGATCGCAATGTTTTTCAAAATCAGAATCCATATACTGCTATACAGATGTCACAAGGATCTATTTACCCATATTATCAAAGAAACATTTACCACTTGACACTTTTCCAGAAAGTTAAAGAATTCTTTAACGTGACTGCATTAATTGGCGTGACAGTATATTGTGCTTATTTGTTTTATAAGGTATTTTATGAAATGCTAAGTATCATCAAAGAATTTCTGTTAAAGATATATTTCAAAAATTGTTACCATTACAATTTTAAGTTTTCTATAATTGAATTTTTTAATATAGAAAATAGAAATAATTCATAATTTTTTGTGTTTAGATATAATTTTTTATTTTGCAGAAATTTATAGAACCCTTTTTGTTTGGTCGAACAAAGAAACAAAATGTAGAAGATAAGGTAACCGAATTAAACAAAACCGTCCAGAATTCCATGAAAGAAATGAAAGATTCTATTTTGAAAATGGAAAATGATGTGCAAAAGCTGACTGAACATCAAGCAATGGATCCAACTATTCCGCAATTGGTACAGGAACTTAAACAGGATTTATCTAGTCTAAAAGCTTTGCTTTTATCAAGGTATATACTTAATTTCATTTCTTTTTGTGCATACATAGTAATTTCTTGTATTAATACGTTTGTTATCACTGTTTGTATGAAAAACTGTTTGCCAAAGATTTTGCTAACATTTTTAACAGATTTATGTACTGCAATTTTATGCGTTGTGATTGCAGATTTCTCAGTTGTACTATTTTAATACATTAATCGAAAATGTGTGCTGGTCTCATGAAAATTGGTGTATCACATATTCATGTATATGACATGATTTTGTGAACGTGTTAATATATCTCAGATAATAATGCATATAATCAGTAATAGCAATTTATTGCCATACAATGAGATTATTTCATTTAGACATTATTTGCTCTCATATGTGATATTTGCTTATATTAAAATTTTTACAAGAGATCAATCATCACAACCTCACACATTCGTACATGTATAATTTTATCCGAAATTGCTTAAAAAGTTGATACTTGTGCTTGGATGCTCTGGCAATTCTTTAAATAAGAGTTTTACATATAGCTTTACAAAATACAACTTTAAAATATAAATTTGTGCTTTTCTTTATCTTATTTCTATTTTTGACCATCTGCACTTTTGAATAAATTTTTGTTGTAAACAGTTTTCTGATTGGATTATACATACATATCTTTTCAAAAGTCACAAATTTAACACATAAGAAGTTAATTCAAAATTTTTACAAGTCGGCTATCTATACAATTATGTTAATTATCTATTATTATTTCCAATAATATGTTTACAATAGGAAACAGTTTCCTAGTGCTCCAGCATCTATTCCTTCATGGCAATTGGATGCAACAAATGTAAGTCAAGAAAAAGCAACCGAACGAGAAGATGATGCTGGAAGTGGAAGTAGTACTAACAATTCGGATAGTTCTTTGGAAATGATTCGAGAGGACACGCCCAAAGAATAAATTTAGAAACTTTGTCTATTGTAAAATATCCAAAGTCTTCGATATACGATATACTCGACATTATACATTGGAATAACAGAGAATTGTGGTTTTAATATTATAAGATATCAGAGAGATGTTTCATGTTATACATACTGATAGCATTGATCTGCATTTTTAGTGGAATTGATGAGTTTGTAAATATTTTAATATGTGTATAAACCAATGTTGTATTACAGAAGATAACTTTTAAGATTTATAATCCAATCGACCAACAGGTTTATACATTAAATGTGTCATTTTTGTTACTATAACATGAATAAATATACTGAATGAATATAATGGCATATTTTCTTGCAATTTTTAATAAAATATGTTTTTTCAGTAAGTAAAATCTAAATTAGTCAATATAGTTTCTAGAAAACATATTTTATATTTTATACTGCGTCGTATAAGTATTAAAAAAAAATAAATAAAAAATATAGCCAGAAATTATTTAAAACATTTTACAAATGATTAGAAAGAATACCTCCGGTTTTATAATCGTATGACTTATGATGTTTAATGCAGCCTGTATGATACATAGAGTATGTAAAAATTTTTCTTGTTTGTAAAAATCAATTTTATGTGATAATAAATCATAAATATAAAGGTGTAGCAATTCTATAGAACATGAGAATAATAAAATAATTCGCTTAATATTTTTTGTGCATATAAATGTTTGGAGTTAAATCAAAAACAATCATAATGCAAAATATCGCAAAAAATTTCGTAAATCTTCTATCGTTAGTGAAATTTTGTCATATCACACAAAGCGAGAAATCTCGTACTTCCACATTGTTGTACATGTCTCATCTGCATCAACGCAGGCATATAGATGTGATACATAATCTTATTAATAATGAACAAATAGGTCAACATCGCCTTTATTTAGAATACTATATGTATTGCCCATGATTCGTATCTTGAGAAAGTGATTGATTGTTAGAAATTGTAACAGAACATACATAAGTTCCATAATGTACAAAAGATAAACGATATCATCAATTAAAAAGATCTTTATTGGAGTATAAATTATTGATGTTAAATCTTGCACATGGGCATATTTTTCTGTTTCAATGAAGGTCGTATGAATAAATTGATTTTACATTTATATATATAAATGCATGTGTGTATACATGTATATATATACATATGTAGATATTTGATGAAACCCATGATTTATATAACTTATTTATACCGGTCATTCATACAAAAATCAGTCACGCTACATTTCTCAAATACATCCCAAGTAATATGTACAAATTGTATCATATCCGATATTACTGTAATATGATGAAACAAGCGAACAAAGTACACAGGCTTATGTATGTATATGTATGTGTGTGTGGTGAGCATGTATACGCGCGTTCTGCGCGTGTATGTGTGTAAGTTTATTATCTTGCTATTATCTCACTTAAAAGGGAGCTCACAATGTATACAACTCGATTTCTTTTGGGAGTGTAGCTGAATACTATAGTTGCAATCAACTTTATAAATGAGAAAGCGCGTTACTTGAGCATTATACAGAAAAATTTGATCATACATTCGATTTAATATTCATATATTGATTGCATATAATCGTCATAATTGAACATTGTAGTTAAAGTTCTATTTTTTAACTATAAAGTTGCAATAATAAGAGAATGTAGGATTGAAACTCGAATCGTTCTTTATATATTTTTCGCATATTTTTGAGCAATAATTAAAGAAAATAATAATAGTGCGGTATCATATATACACATACCTTATATACATAGTAAATATGTTATAGTTTATAGCAAGAGTATAGTATAATCATATACTGTAATTTTTATAATAAATCTAATAGTTAAATGTTTTATTATAAAATAATACAAATTTAAATATAACATATATACAAGAGAAAAAAGAAAATGTCATAAATTAAATTATAACATTTTCCCCTTTGTATGATTTGCGGTAACATTTCAGTTTTATGAAAACGTTTTCTACGGTAATATAAATTTTTTTTTATTTATATATACTATTATTTTGTTATATTATTTATCTTGTATTATTTATATTTTATTATTTTTATTCTATTATTTGTTATGCACAAGAAATTATTTATTTCAATATATTTAGCAATAAAGACGCATCCTAAAATATCTGGATATGAAGAAAAAATATATAGAACGATTTGTTTCAATTCTACATTATTTTGCTTAAAAATAGCTTATATTCTAAACTCTGCAACACTTGATGCTAATGATCAAAGAATATTTGAACCTTGTGCTTTTACAATCAAATTTCTCTATCATTCTTCATCATTTGGCTTCTACAACATCTATTTAATTGCAATTATTTCACTCGGAGAATGCCAAAAGTATCGGTGACTTATGTTTCATGAGCTCCCTTTGTTAGAATGCGTGTAGTATCAACGCAATCAGCATTACAGATCGTAATTGCATACATGTAATATTCCATTTCGCAAAAGTTTTGACGAAAACAGATGTGTCACTCTTTCCTGGTTTTATATTAATACTTCTTTTTCTTTTTAGATATATAACCAGGACCTGCTGCCTCACTGATACAGTGAGTTACAGCGAAATCTGACGTATGACTTAGTACATCTCTCTATATACATCCTAGGTTAATAATATAGTAACGAAAGTTCTTCATTTCGATTACTTATCTTTTGTCCATGATGTGCCATCAAAAAAATACATAAATAAAAACTTTAAGTAATATCTTACCTAAAATGAAAAATCCTGCCGACTATCGTGGGCTCTTATCTTATTTCTGTACCTTGGTCTTTGGCAAAGGCTTACGTAACAGGAAAAGTAAAGAAATTCGCCTTACGTTTTCGCACACATGGGCTGTACAACATAAAGGATTATCCTAGGATGTTTTGTGCTGACATAATTATTGGCTGAATACCACTCCTCTTGGTATTTACTCGCCGCTGTTCCGTCGAGTATAGAAAAACAAAGACTGAGGAAGAGAGCTCTTTCATTGTCTCTCATTATACGGGCAGCGACCTAATGTTGCTATTATCAATAACAATAATAATCCTAGGCTAGACACATTAACTGAAACTGCTAGCAGTTTCTTCTCTAGAATATCTAGTGCATCGCTCAATCTCGGCTATGCTACCAAGTATGATGCAAGTGTAAATTTCTTGAAAGAACAGATCGTACATCCTGCGTGAAGCGGAGAGCGTCCAAGACTGGAAGTAAGCTTAATAAAGCGGTGTCTCCCGCGTCACTGAACCATGATTTTATAGGTATTGCGTTATCTACGACATAAAGAAAAAGAAACAATGATATACATAGAGCAGCGTGTTATTACTTTTGTGCTTTAATTTTATGCACCATTGATAGCACTGTGTTACGTGCATTTGATTTTAATACAAGGATTATAGATTATATGATTTCGGAGGTAGAATTTAAACCTGTGAAAGCAGTACCTGGATTTACAGGATTTATCAAAAGAGCTTTAAAACAGGCTGAGATTTCTGTCATCACCAATTCGGTGTACAGTAATCCGGAGTTTATTTAAGTGGAGGAATACCGATGTTTGTGCTTTTATTTACGTTTATCCGTATGTTTGTACTCAGTGCTTGCTTATTCAACATCAATATTAAAAGCTGCAAATAGATATGTTCCTTATTCGTTTTATCCCGTTAAATATATTTGTTTCATCAAATACATTATCAAAAGAGAAATATTTTTCTAAGCCACTACAATAAAACCTAAAATGCTCGATAAAACATTGTTAATAAATCACGCAAATATATTATTCATTAATCTACAATACATTCGTTGTATTATTGCAATTCTTCTAAAATCGGACTTGAGATTTATATCGCCCTGATTGAGTATCATTAAATCAAAAAAAGACGAAACACGTATATTGAAAAAGACATTACAATTAAGTTTTATAAATAGTATTAAATATTTGAAGAGAAAAAGAGGTTCATTATGAAGAAAAAGCAAACGTGGCAATATTGGATGGCATCGACCGATCGAAATAAATATGCAGGGCATTAAGTTATCTCTCGTTTATATAATATATAATAAATAAACATCATTATAACATAAAATGTTACACAATAAATACTCTATTATTTCCAAATAAATTTTACGAATGCTCATTTTGTTAATAAGTTATTAATATAGAAATTAATTCAAACTAACTTTTCTCTTGCATATAGCAGTTTCTATAAGCAAGTTCTGATTACAAAAAATAATATTTAATATAAAATATAACAAACACTATATAACACTATAAGAAGTGAATAAAAAATATAATATTTTATAAGAAAATACAAAACTGTCTAAATGTAATTATTTCTTATACATTATTTTCATGTAAAGTGCAATGATGAAATCAATCTTAAGTGCAATGTATTAATTTTTGTTCTCTAATTATGCAATTATTTATCAATATTTATAAAATAATAATAATTGTTCAATATAGAGAAAAAAAGTCTATACATTCATTAAAAAATAAATAAAAAACCTTTTAATGTTTTTAATTTAGTATGTCTTTTTTTAATAGATTTCTGTGTGAGCATCTAAAAGAGACATGGAAAATTATTTGATTAAAATATATATACTTACGTGGATAGGCTCTGTAGGCTCCTGGGCTGTTATCAAGAATAAAGACTGAAGAGAGATCTGAACAGATTGCCGATAAATCCTTGGTATAGGAACCCATTTCTGGTGTACAATGTTGCCTATAATATCTGCGCCTTAAGATACCTCTGTTGTTATCTAGTTTATCCGCAACTGCTGCCCCATATATTTCCATGGATGCAGTGAAGACTACGAGCTCGTACCTAAACGTAACATTGATATAAATATTGAATAACAAGGAATAATTAATGCAATCTTATCTCAGAGCTTGAGAAGTGCAAGGTCTAAGTATGAGATTGCAAAGTATAGTATTTTGAAATGATCTTTTCCTTCTTTAAGGTAACATACTTACCACTGACTTACAATATCCAAGAAAAAATCTACGTGTGGTCTCTTATGGACAAAAAATCTAACAGGATGTCTATCTATCGTCACTTTAAGAACAAAATCTGGAGGTGTACCAGGCCTGACAGTTGGCCTTGCCACTCCATCGTGATGAGAGTGAATTAATGTTTCGTCTAAATCCAATACTAATACTTTTCTTTTAACTATACCTGAAACATTCTTGCATTACACACAAATACTAAACAATATTGATTGCAGTATCTTAAATGTAAAGTTCACTTATCATTGATACCTACTAAGTCTGTGCCTAGATAAAGGTGAAAGCGGGAAGATCTCATATTTGACCGGTTGCATTTGTGAAATCTAAAACAAAGCAATAAATATGCAATTTATATATTGTAGATCTTGTGCGAAAGGTATAAATGTGGTTATCTGCAAAACCAGCAATGGATTGTTTTCGCAATAAAAATTTAAAAAACCCTGATATTTATTCTGACGAGATGGAAAGCAAAAAACAATAATTAATATTTATTATAGCTTGGAACTGTGATCGAAATGACGATATGTGGATAAAAGAGATTAAATAGACAGATATGTATTTATATTGCAATGAGAATATAATACATAATATCGAATTTTAGCATCAAGTAACTACTTACACCTCTAATTGCATCTTGAAAGCAGGCACGAATCACATGAAACAATACATCTTTCCAAAATACCAGTTAGTAGAACAGAGAAGAAAGAACACAGAGAGAACGAAACCTTGACACTTGTTCAGATATAACAAATTTTACCAGAGTCATCGATATGCATACGTAATAAGTCAAAGTCAATGAATAAAAATTGGGAAATATAAAAAAATGCTTCATACAATTTTTATACAAGTTTGATGCATTATTGAATTTATATATCGCATTCGCGAGCATGTTCGCTATAATCCCGCAAATGTTACAGTTGTCACCCGAGCGTTACATCAACAAATGTCAATACATATATCTCATATCGTGATAAAATAAAGGGACAAATCAACAAGCGTTAGAGCGGTCTTGTAATATGACTCGTGCCCGACTCCGAAAGAAAGCGTGAATAGAGGCGCGAAGCACCTACTTACGGCTCTAACCTGCTTCTTGAGTAGAAAGCAGATGCAGGTCCACACACGGGAGGCCATTAAGAGGAAAGCTCTCATCCCCATCTGCAATTGCTTCAGCATCTCTACGGGTCTTCTCACCGGGCCGAAGTCCGGCAACACTTTATCTCCAGTCTCACGTCCCCGCTGTGTGTTCCTTTACCCCGCTCTGTGTATTTTCCACTCCACTCCGCCTCGCGAAACGCAAGTCGCGAGCGCGGTACCTGCTCGCTGTGAGAATCGAGAATCGACGGCAGCCGAAAACCGCAAGGTGAGGGCTTCTTTACTGCCGCGCGTTTATCGTAAACAAACGGTAACACCCCCGCGATTGCGAGACGAGCCGACACGGGTCCGCGAATGCGGCGTTCTCACGCCGGTGCTCGTACGACAGGTCGCGTTCTGCACGTGTTAACGTACCTTACCGTAGTTCTTTCATGTTTTTTGACAAAACCAGACTACGAGCCCTCTTACGCGCACCACGCAGCGGCCGCCATCTTCCGCGCATCGACCCAATTTTTTCGTGCGCTGCACTGTTCTCTCGCGTTGCTTATCATTGTTTTCGAGCTTGAAATCATCGACGGTCTTTTTCGTGAGAGTATTCGAAAACATTCTGAGCCGTGATTATTTCAACGTCGTATCTGAAATTAGTAAATGTTAATTTTTCATTTCAATAATACTTTTGAGATAAAACACATATTTTAGAAAAATTTAAATTCTTCAAGAATTTTAAAAAAGCTTTTGTAAAATTACAAGAAATCATAAAAAGTAAACGGAGTAGTTAAATATTTTATCCTAATACGAATTATATAATAAAAGGATTAGCATCTCGATGAGATATATTTTTCGTAAAACTACATACAGAAAACACAATTGGACATTTTTATTAATTATTTTTTAAGAATTAAATATTTCTTTTTCAATTGGATATTTTTAAACAAATCAACTTGCTAAAATTAGAAATGTGCGGGTGCTTCTAAAGTTTAAGTCGAATTGCCTTCGATTCGAGTTTGCAAAGACAATCGAAAAGAATCGAGCTATGCGAATACATTGATTACTCGAACTCGAAGTGAATTCAATTTAAACCAAACATCGAATGTACTACAAGTTTATACTACAGTTTAATTGTATACGCACAATCCCAAAGATCTTTATTTGTAACACGTGTAAAACAATTGCTAGAAATAAATTTATTAATTACATTTAAATTAATACATTCGCTCGCTAAATACAAGTATACGATCCGTTATGTATACATTATGATAATTATCAAATAATATACAACAAAATGTACAAAATTTTCTACTGATAAAGTACAATTCTTTATACAATTCCTTAAATTTGATCAATTATTTTGCTAATACATAGTTTTAAACGTTTTCTTACATACATTATCTTTGTACTTTACAACGAAATATACATAGAATAAGATTATAAATCGTGCTACGAGAGAAAAGATGAATTAATTTTCTTCCATTAAGCTACGCTTATAATTTATAGAGATTTGTATATGTATATATACACAATATTCGTGCGCACATCATATAGCGTTTTCGATTATACAGGATTTGAACGACCCAGGGTTGATCAATCACTATTTTACTATAAATGCAAGTCTTTCATTGGTGGAGAGGTTGCAATGACGTCATTAACCAACCCTGGGTCGTTCAAATCCTGTATAATCGAAAACGCTAATAGATTTATCGCAATATATTTCCTAAAGATGTTAATTACATATCACTATTATCCTTTTCTTAAATAATTGTGACTTTTCATAAAATATTACATTCGATAAATCTATGACATATACACGTGTAATTCTATAAAATATTCTTATCAACGTTGATAACAAAAAGTAAGATGGTTCGTCAAACCACCTGCAAATAATATTAAAAAATCTATGTACTAGCACGAATAATCAATCAATCCCAATTTTTATAAATAAGACGGTACAGAATATATTACAGCAACAGTTTGACAAGCACTGCGCAGAAGAACATAATTTATAAATGGCCCAAAACGGAAGATTCCACATTTCACTTCTTTGATCATTTTACATATGCTGGCTCTTTGACAATATAATATTATTGTCCTTATGGCTCTTGGGAAGCAGAATGGCTATGAAAGAAATATCTCAACAATATACACCAACAGGCATGAATATATACGTCGTTGTGAAATATTAATCGGAAGAAAATGTTTCCCACATGTGCAAGAAATTGAATATTACTATTAAAAAATGCTTTTTTTTCATAAATCCATTATTAATTGGAGATCGCTGTATTACGATAAACCAAGTCTATGTCTCTTCAAGAACAGCATGACATTAAAAAAATTACGCACTACTTTTTCTATGGTTATTTCAGCGTTTCGTTATCTAACGTATTATAATAAGGCGTTTTCGATGTCTTGCCTTCCTTGCCTTTCTAGCAAAGGAAAGTTTTACTCGAGTCTTTCGTATATGACGGATCAATTATTAAGACTAGTTTGGCGATCTCAAAGGCACCTGCTTTTCTGCTACTAATTTTTTATGGATTGAATATGCAACGACATATAGAACATTAGTAACGTAAAAAAGATGTAAAGAAATTACAAATTGCATTAAGCATATAATATCATCATTGATATTTCTATCTGAAATTATTATACTCATTTCGAGAGTAACACAAGAGAGCTCTTATGATCATAACTTCTCTGCTTTAAACTTTTTTTTTTTCTTTTTATATAAAAAATAATGAAGTTGCAGGTTCCCGTCAGATCTTACCAAGATGCTATTCTCATTTATTACGCGTTTCAATCACTACACTGAATTGTGTATGTGTGTATGTAAAGGCACGCGTGTTTTGTGTGTGTGTATATATTTATGCGTGTCATACGCATATGCGTACGCGGCCTTTGAAATTAAACGAAAATTATAATCCATAGGTGGCTAATCGTGCCATTTTCATAAATTGTACAAGCATAACAACACACAGTCCAACACACAGTCCAAGACAATCTTGTCTCACACAGAAAACTTATCACTTAATTTTTATCTTTGTACACATTTGTTCAAATAAATACACACGAATAATTATCACATGAATACGAGTTTTCTATCGGATTCTCGGCTTTATAACATTTTTTTTTAAATATAAGTGGAAATCGTGAATCTTATTTTTTTGTATTTACACTACACGATACAAGACAATGTTATCTTGTACGAAAAAATATTTCAAATATTACCTTCGGTCTCCTAAAATCAAGTAGACTTTAACAATATCTCAAAGCTGCCGGAAACTAAATATTGTTCCCTTCTGCCTGTTATAATATGATGTAAGTCCTGTCATAAGTTATGCTCACATAATATTTAGCTAGATATAACGCTAAGAATGTTAAAACGGTCTATCCTGCGCGACTACAAAGATAATTTTTGAAATTACTAATTTTTCTAGCAAAGTATGAAACTGATATTTTCTGCTCATACATATTTTCCAATGTAAATTGATCGGCGGTGTAGTTATTATTCACTGCAAAGACCTCGATTTCCATCGTATGCAAAGCCATACACTTCAGTTTTCTTTGCAGAAAAAATATAGAGGCAGTTTGTCTATTAAATTTATGGAAATATAGCTAAGCTTATGGAGCGCCAGATCCTTTTTATGCGTCATGTTGTAACGGCGCGTTATAATACATTACCTTTCTTAATGTAACTTTTATTTAGCTATGCATCTTTTGCGTCCAAGGGATCATCGCGCCAAATATTCCACATTCAATCTACGAACGATGTACGTAATGCCGTATTCTACGTATGCGCTTATTGAGGCGATGTTCCACAGGCGATTGTCACGACACCACGCTGGGTGTTCACCAGCCTATTCCATAACGCTTTCGGCGTATTTGCTCTTTCTCTCTCTCGATGGATTTTCGCCATCGTGCGATTTAGTTTGTATTCGACGATAGCGTAACGTTGAATCGCGAATAAACAGTCTTCTGATTCGCCGAGCCTCTCTCGAAACCCGGCTCGTGGCAGCGTTTAACTTTTCGAGTGTACATTTGTTTTTTGTGCTTTCTTCTTCCGTGCTGCCAGCATATCATAAAAGGGATTGTGCGATATACTTTGTCTGGAAGTAAAATAAAGTGTAGAGAATTATTTTACTGTAAACAAAAATGCAACAGTCTGCGAGTGTGTAGAGTCGCAACTCTTTTATCACTTTAACTTACCGCACGCATTTGATCCATTCGTCTTTTTCTTCGTCGGTAGCTGCAGACATTCTGTACACGGTATGTTTCCCTACGAATAACCGTAGGCAAATGTTTAGTTGAGATACACTTTCGCGCACATAAGCGCGTATGACGTTAGTTTTCTGTTGGTTTAAAGTACGGATTAAACGTCAAGGAATCATACCTTCCACGACCTTTCCTTCACTGTCAGTCTTGCATGCCTTTATGAATTCGGAACCGGCGGCGTACAGCTCAAAACAGTGCGGCTTGTTTCGATCCTGAATTTCTCGAACCTGAATATTTTCTAGCGGAATGATGCCGCGCGGCTCTTTGTCTGTCGTGTACTCGAAGTAATATAAACAATTGTCGTTCAATATGAACCATCGCCTCTTCCAACTCTTGTAACGTCCGCCTGGAACAAAATGCGCGATATGTAGAATTAAGAACCTATGGTTTCCGCAGAGATATTATTTACCTGCTGTCTCCGTCAGGGCAGCAGAAGGACAAAGTAATACATAAGAATAAACGTTCAACAATAAATGTAACAAAAGTATCGAGGAGTATCATATCGCGCTCCACCTGTATCTTTTATCATTTCACAGTCGTTAAAAAAAAATTAAGTAAAAAAAATTAAATAAACTGCAAGTTTTCGTTTTCTTTCAGGTATAAAAAAAAATAAAAAACAAATATTAACAGATATTCTTTCTCATCGAGATCGAGCTGGTTTATTTAACCTTGATTTCCACTTCAATTCCTCTTTGTATTCTAATGATTTGACAGTCAATTGAGTTAACTCGATCTCTCGAGTGAAGAATACACAAGTCCGATTGTATTTGGAATTTTATTACGAAATGAAGAATTGTCGGGATGATGATCGATCCGTAAAACTCATCTACGAACGTAAGTAGGTATTACCTTGTTTCCAGAGCCAGCCCTCTTTGTCGGGATTGAAGAAGGTGTGCATCAGGTCATTGCCGTCATCTTCTGGTATTTTGAAAGGTTCGGTTTTTATACTCTCGTATAAACTCTGAAAGTAAATGCGAATGAGGAACTTTCTGCGTAGGAAACAGGAAAGTGTATCTCAGTGTCTCCCGAAAAGGCTTACCACAAGTAGCTCCCGCGGCAGATCCCCGCCGTTATTAATACCTCGATTCATCGAAATGAACTGTTCCACACTGGGCTTATCCTTAACGCTAGGATTATGCAACGAAGTATTCAGCATAATGATGGCGAAGCTCAGCACGTAGCAGGTGTCCGTATTGGTGAAGATATTTGGGTTCAGCTGGCAGTACCTTTGAGCGAAGCACTCCATCATGCGATCGATCTTCTGCGCCTCGCCGGGCAGCCGAAACGACCAGAGAAACTGGCGTAAAGCTTGCACCAATATCAAATCGGTGAAGTCGTGTAGCTCGACAAACGCCCGCAGCACGCGCTCGTTAAAATCGTGCCGCTCGCCGAGGTAGTCGCCGATTGCTGTTTTATTGAGGCCCTCGCCCTTATAGAGGAATTGCGCGACGTCCTCCGGCGTCGGTGCCAACAGGTTGTGTTCTATCAGGTACTCGATGCCCTTCTTGGGATCCATATTGAACTTCTTGCGGCCGATCGATGTCTGCTTGGCCTTGTTGGACGGTTTCGTCTCGTCGGTCGTAAGTCCGCCGCCCTCCATCGCCTCCATCTCTGCCACGACTTCGCCCAATTCATCTTTTAATTGCTGAAAGCAGATTGCCGAGAATACATTATAAAAACAAGCTACTATTTTTTTTTTTTATTTCTTAACGTAGTGTACGAGAAATTAAAAGCGTCGAAAATTAAAATAATTTTTAATTATTAGTATAAAAATGCTGGGATAAAATGTAACGATTCAGAGCGACGAGTGGTGCATCGTGCACGCGGTGCAACAGCAGCTTTCTGCCTCGTGATACTCGCTCGACACCGGTCGCTTATTTCCCACCATTTTAATGTACATTCCGCGAATACCAGTCGACAGGATCGTATCTCTTTCGATGTCAGTAGACGTTGAATAGACGCACTAAAAAGGACAAGCACGTCATATAATGTCATCATGCCGGTGCATGATTGCGCAATTCATCAATCTTCCCTTTCTTCCTTTCCTTTCTCTTCCCTCAATAATATCCAAGTATTTTACCTTTGTTTTGGGCGAAATTGAGTTTACTAATTCAAAAAAATGGACACTAAACCCTGCTGCTGTAACACACTGCGCCATGGAAAAATCAATGAATGCACGCAAACAATGTGATGCGCCCTATTCGCAACATTACAACTATTGCTAGTAACGTGTGTGAAAATGGCACAGACGCGCTATTGTAAAACATTTATCGTCGCAAAGATGTTCTGCAAATTAGCCATTTGTCATTTAATTTTGCATAATTTTCAGATGAATTTTTGAGTCGGCGGAATGAGTTTTAAAGCGCCAAGTTTAACGAACCGCGCACACATCTTTTACAAAAACAGTTTCAGGAAAAAGGAAGGGTCGACCGGAAGCGGGGTGTGCGTGTTAACCGCCGATGAGACTCGTTAGCGGGTCGACCGCGATAGCAGCAAGGACAATAACTTAGTCGCTGGTCGGCCCTGAGTAGTATTGTTTATTAGGAGGTAGCGTTTCTTTTGTACTTATCGGTGAACATCCGGTCTCACGGCAGGAAGGCCGTTGACGACGCGTGAAAAACCGGTATGCCCCGTGAACCTAGAAATTATAACTCGCTGAATACCGGGAGAAACCTTTCTTCAATGCCGCATGCCATTCTTTCGAATTTAAATTCCCTCGCAACTACGTCAAAATATTTTCCCTCGTTTAAGAAATGATTAATAGTTACGACAATTCTGAGTGTAGAAAAATGGATACGTGATCTTTTCTCCAAAGAAATCCGTCTTAACTTTTCGAAAAAAAAAAAAAACCGTTAAAAATTTGACATTATTTGATGACGCGATGTACGGTATTTCATGTAGTTTTCGAAATTAAATTTAGCTTTGAATTTAAATTATAGTAACTTTGGCGTAAACCTGATTTTCTTTGCTCCTTATTTCCTCAAAAATGAAAATTTTTTCTTTAAAACTCAATTTCTACTTCAATATGAAAAATAGTAAACTCAGGCTAAGTTTGATGAGAAATAGACTTTTTAATATTAAAATTATCAAATCTACAAATTAACAAATGTTATCATAAATCAAGTTTCTTTGGAGGTCATATGTGTAATTACAGAAGTATACAGAAGCGTTTAGCATTGTTAATTATCGCTTTGTCATCATCGAAGATATCAGCGGGAAATTATACGAGTTCCTGTTAAAGAGCTTGCGGTTGAGTCATCATGAATACTCCCAGTAAGTCATTGAATAAAAATATCCTAATTTGTATTGCAAATTACGGCGCTACAGCGTAATAAAAATATGTTCATTAAAAGAAGAGCTTACAAGATTCTCATTAATTTATGCGAAGTAACGTTAATGAACCTGCAAGGAGATTGGGCGGGTTTTATTATCACTCCGCTTTTCTCGCTTCATCATTTACATTTAGAAAAACGTTGAATCGGCACTATCGCAGGCTTCTATTCTCTTTTGTCTGTTCTATGCGGAATGATTGCCTTATTCCGTTCTATTTCTGTCGTTCTGTGCGCGTCCTGTGCGCGATCGATCGAAAGTTCAGCGCTACTACTCAACTAACTTCCTTCCTGCGAAATGAGACGAAGCGAAGGGCGTCCATTCATACGAAGGATATGACTCGTCAAAGAGTTTCGAGATGACTTCACGTGACAACTGCATAGTTTACCATTACTTGAAATATTACGTACGTGCCGAGCGTATTCCATCTATATTCTCGCTAAGAGTATTTTCGGTCTCGAAACACTCAACTAGAGAATATCTCTTGAATGGACGCAAATAAACACACCGTAAAGCTATCCTCGCGGGGATCGAATATACCGCTGCTCTCTACGCATAAAATAGAAAAAATATATATATATCAGCACGTGGAAATAATGCTATATTTGACATTCCACAATGTCTCTTTCAATGCCGCAAAGGACAAAACAGCGTAACGGGCAGCATAATCGGTTAAATGAAGAGCGAAAGTTCCTGTTCGATTAAATGCTAGTTTGTCCGCCTGGTACTAAGCCAGACGTACGTGCTAGTTTTGCAACCGGTGTGTCTGCGTCATAAAAGTCGAACAAACTGCGTGCCTGCGCGGTGATTTAGCGCTTCATTAGATCGATCGTTGTCTCGAGGACTAATTATGTTCTATAGACATCTGTTCTACATAATCGTTATCATTGCCCATTCTTTGTGCTTCCGTTGCTGCGACTAATAGATACTCGCATCATTATACTTTCTCGGAATAGATACTGCTTTAGATTGTTAGAATTCGGCTTGAGTGGAAAATAACCACCTCCGAAACCAGAAGACATTTGTTGCAAGCGCACGAGACGGAGCTGTGATATAATTGGCCATAAAATAATATCGCAAGAAAGATTTCGTTAGAATCTAAGGATTAACGCTGCAGTTTAACACAAAGACGTCGCATTAATTCCGACGATTAGCATAATATTCTATTGCGACTTGATGTTACCGTCTGCAAAGACAACGTAACCGTGTCACGGACGTCTCACTGCACGAAATACGAGTATCGATGTGAATGTTTCATCTCGAGCTATTTTTATACCTTTTTTGTCGCAATAAAAAGACGTTTCTAAGGAAACATCGCGTACGAACCGTGATTTCTAATTAGTTTCACGTTCAATATAAATGCATAAATGTACATCTCTCGCTCTAGTACGCGAAAAATATATTTTGCATGCGTTTAAAAAATTTATCAAGTTCATGATAGGGTAATCCAACATTTTACGAAATCGCATGGTCAGAGTTCAGAGGTCTAACGATAATCCGTTTTTTATTCAGACTAATATATTAAATGAAAAACATGCGATATTCGCAATATTCGTCTTGTTATTCTTAAATGACCATGTTAATCGATAAATTGATCTATCATGTAGGCGTAAATCACACATGAGATGAAAGAATTTTTTCACGCGTATTCAACAAGATCGCGGTCACGTGGCTGCGGGTGCGAGTGTGAGTTGTAATTGGAGAACGGCCAAACGTTCTAAATGCTACGCGGATTCTCCGAGTCGGAGAAAACCGAGCGCTTGGTAGCCGTCCAGGAGTTACGAATTCACGGAAGAAACGGACGCGAAACGCGAACGCGTACAAGTGCCTCGATGAGACCGAGTTACAATTAAATGTAATGGACGATGACTTGGAGCTTTTAAGGTTTCGCGGCTTCCAACAGAGTGAAAATCCATCATTGTCTTCTGTTTGTAACTATTTTGAAAGAATCCGCTCAAGAAAGAACATTTATAAACCAACTGAAAGATAAAGAAATGCGAGCGAGAACTGGAAAAGCGGCCAAACGTCTATGTTGACGTCTTGACGCGGCGGTGAATCAATAGGAAGTAAACAGACACGCAAATTGTCGATTAGTCATTAAACTGACAATGCGCATTGATTCTCGCGGCTGCGCTCGTGTTAACGTTCGTGCATTAGACGGCAGATAGCGAGTATCCGGTTACTTAGGCGCGTCACGAGCTGAACAACTTTTCCGGCTTCTTCGTTAATTCGCTGTTTAGTCGGCCGTCGTATGAAAAATGAACTTCGTCGCGTATATCTAATTTCTCGTTTCTAAATATACATCGAGTATCTTCCTATCCGGATATCAAATGTCGCAACGACCAAGTGCATTTTCGTTTACACGCTTTTGTTTCGTTTTTGCATTTTCAAATCAGATATCGAATGTCGCAATATCGAAGTGCACTTTTATTCACGTGCTCTTGTTTTATTTACGATTTGCATAACCCACTTTAGTCGATTACGCCCGGCTCTTCTTTAATAATACGCTCGCGGGGATATATGGGCCGAATCGATCAAACTTGCCGTTAATCGCACAGGAATTATTTTTATCTTCCTCGGCATGTAAATGCGTACACCGCGGGGTGAAAGACGCGTCAAAGTAGGCTATTTAAATCCACGGCTGTGCACACACGCGGCGCTTATCGATCTATTCTCGCTCTGTATCACCATCTCACACACGCGTATTCGTGTCATCGAATTCGAGCGATTTGGCCCGTCACTGACCCAGCTAATGTCTCTTACCGGCCTCTTTTTTGCCATAAATAACGCGAATACGAAGGGAAAGGAGGGAACAGATGCGACCTGTTACCCCTGCAATGATATAACCGAACTAATTGCCCAGTCGTTATTCATTCGCGTCTATAACTCTTGAAATAAATCGCGACATGCGACTTAACCACATCCGTATCCGTGTCGCGTGCGATATGAGCGATAGACGCGAGTGCGCTGGGCATCGAATGGGCGTCCCGGTTCCTTCTATAAATAAGTCTCCTCTACTTGATCTACGATCTTCCATTCGTGACGTTACGCGATAAAAATGTGAAGCGATACTAGTTCGTTATCTTTGTGAAGAATTGTTTGCGTCAGATCCCCAATACACCTTTTGACTAGTTACCGAGGATTGATGCTTTCCAAATGGTTTCGATCGTCTCGTTACACGCGCGCGATACGTGTACATGTGCAATCTTACATTCACGCCGACAGAAATGATCAACATCTATTTTGCATTTGATTCTTGACCCTGAAACGAGTCATGTTTCGAAGACGACGTCGCAGAGTTAAACCAT